GTATATTTAACTTTTTCTTCAGAAAATAAAATGCCATTTATTAAAGTACTTTTTACGTTATAGTCTGAGGTGTAAATTTACTTTTTAATGTGTATCTATTCATTTTTGTTTAAATGAGTTACTTACTGCAAATAAAAAGTGGAAAAAACGCTTGTACACATGCAAATAAATATTTATACTTATGCACAGAAAAAAGTTCCAGCATAAATATTATGAACTGCTTTCATTGACTAAAGTTAATAATATTTAAGAATAAGTTCCTAAATTGTATGAATTTTTTCATTTTTATATTTTTAAACATAATCTAGAAGCCTTGACTTAAAATATTAAAAATTTTCTTTATATTTTTCTATTTGTTAAAAAATGTTTGAAATTTTCTTTGGAAAATTTTTTATTTCTTTATGATTTTTAGATTGAAAACAATGAAATATGCGCGTAACATGCAGCATATTCTGAAGAATGGATGTTTAGCTATATGCTGATGTTTTTTTTATTTCATATTTTGTTTTCCAACATTTTATTTATTTATCATAAAAAATCCCCAATATGTGATTATTTTCTAAAAAATGGAAAATATTAATGGGTAACGCGGATATTTATTCCAATTTTTTATGAAAATCAAAAAAAATGAGCAAAAAAAAAAGTCTTTAATGTACAAATTCATACATTTTGTGAACTTTTAATATTCTGAATAAAAATGGTTTGGGGAAAAAAAGTCATGTTCGATTCATTCAATTTATTACAAAATTCATTCAAGTTATGTATTAATTTTTTCTGTGTGAATGAATATTTGAGTTTCTTTATATTTTCACATACATACTCTTTATACCCTTTTTATATAGGGTATATATAACTTTGTCATTCCGTGTGTAACGCCGAGAAATATTCATCTGAGACCCACCCTGAGTTGTTTGGTATTGAAAATGAGCAAAATCGGTTCACATCGGAAAAAGTTATGAATCAGCATTTAAAACAACTCCGAAAAAAAAAAAAACAATTTTTTTACACATTCTGATGTAATTTTTACGAAAACTTGCAATATAATTCCATGAAAATCATCATACAGTGCACTCGCGGTAACGTGAACACCGTCTAACGTGAACACCGCCTAACGTGAACAAGATGTTTTTTACATTGACTACTCTGTAACGTGAACAAACACAGAAAGATCTATAACGTGAACAATTTTTTTCACAATATATGTTTTCTAAGCATGTAGACAACATTGAAATACATTCATTAAATTCGAATTTTAAAATTTTTGGAATCTCCTTATATAAATGAATGTATATCCCCTAAATTATTTTGTTTATATGGCAAAGAAATTTGAAGTTATGAGTGTAAAAAAAATCTAAATGTTTGCAGTTAAAAGAAAAGGCAGACATTTTAGATTGTTTGCAAAGAGGAACAAGTGTGACTAGTTTATCAAAAAAGTATAATGTCGCTAATACCCCATTTACACATACACGAAATCTAGTACTTATGAGATTTCGAGCCAAATCTACTTGATTTTAACTAGATTTCCCATACAAAACAAAATCTACTTCGTAACTAGATTTCGTTAAAATCTACTCAAAATCTAATAGTTTTTAGTGATGCAACCCTGTTTTTTCCTAAATAATACTAAAAAATACGACACTACACAAGAAAAAAGAGGAAAACAAAACAAACAAAAAAAAAAATAAAATGTCGACAAAATTTTTATAAATTGAAAAACATGAATGAAAAGTTAATCTAAAATAAAAGGTAATGTTATATTTAAATATCTATTTTTTTATTTTAAATGGAATTTTGATAAATATCCCATTTTTCCTTCTTATTTTTCATATCACACTTTTTCAAAAAATATTAGAAAAAATGAAATCTTCCTAAATGTCAAGAATAGTAAGTGTAAACGGTCTAGATTTGGAAAAAGATTTTAAATGAAATCTAATAGATTTCGTGTATGTGTAAATGGGGTATAAGTCAACAATATGCAGTATTAAAAATAAACAAGTAAGAAGTTATAGTCGGGCGACGCCGACCATATATTACCCTACACCTGTATACGAATAAAATGTGATGTGGTTTTCATAATAAAGCATTTAAGTTGAATTTTACCTTGCCTCAGATATACTTAAGCCATTTACAGTTTAATAAAACTGTGGATATTTAAGTAAAATTTTGATGGGGCTTTTTAGAGGGGCTAAGGGTCAAATGAGGCCCTATAATTAAAAATTTTATCAGGGTCATCAAGACTAGTATAGAACTTGGTTTTGCAGCTTTTTGTCGAGATAAGAGTATATTAAGCATAATTATGAACTTAAAAGCCCTATTTGGCGGGTTCAATTCTATGGGGCCTAGGTGAAATAATGGACCGATGTTAACCATTTTCAATAGGCTTTGTCTACAGTACCATAAAAGATCATGTGCCAAATTTCATTGAATTATCGCCAAAATTTCGACCTGTAGTTTGATTACAATGTTTACAACCCTTTTTGGGGGGTACAGTTGTATGGGGGCTAGGTGAAATAATGGACCGATCTTAACCATTTTCAATAGGGTTTGTCCCTGGGACAATAGAAGATCATGTACCAAATTTCATTCAATTATCTTCAAAATTGCGGCCTGTAGTTCGATTACAAGGTTTACATGGACGGACGGACGGACAGACGGACATAGCTAAACCGACTCAGAAAATGATTCTAAGCCGATTGGTATACTTTAAGGTGGGTATAGGACCAATATTTTTGTGCGTTACAAACATCAGCACAAACACAATATACCCTCCCCACTAAAGTGGTGTAGGGTATAAAAAGAAGCAATTTTGAGTTGTGCAAACAACACATACCAAGGACCGGGAAAAAGACAAACTTTAAAATCATCAGAACTTCCAGTTAATGAAAAAATTCTTTACCGTTGGTTCCTCCGAATGCGTGATAGGAATTGGCCTGTAAGTGGTCTAATGTTAAAAGAAAATGGATTTTAATAAAATTTTAGTTTTATATTATAATAATATAAATAATAATAAAAGAATATCACGCTCAAGTGTGTAAAATACAGATTTATAAATTAAAATTTCATATTTTTTTCATGAAATTTGACAATCGCTAACGTGAACAATTTCGCTAACATGAACTCCCTTGGTTTTAATTAGTTCACGTTACCGCGTGTGCACTGTACTTTCGTTTCTTAATGAGAGCTTGAGTTCTGTTGAAAATTGGAGAAATCGGTCCACAACTTCATATGCCTCCCATACAAAAGTACATAGTCCCGGAAAATGAGTTTTTTTGTTAATAACTTCCGTCAGAATGTTGATATCTTAACAAAATCACACATAGCTCAAATACAAGGTCCCCTCCCGATAATCACTTAAACGAACATAACTCATTACTAAATTTAGATATCCATATCAAATTTGGTACAAGTATTACTCCTATATACAGAAATATTACAATGAATTTTTTTCCGATCGGTCCATAATTGGTCATAGCATCCATAAAAGAACCCCTCCCGAAAATCACTTAAACGCACATAACTCATTACTAAATTAAGATATCCATATAAAATTTGGTATAAGTATTGCTCTTATATACAAAAATATTACTATGAAAAATTTTTCCGATCTGTCCATAATTGGTCATAGCTCCCATACAAGGTCCCCTCCCGAAAATCACTTAAACGCACATAACTCATTACCACATTACTCTTATATATATAAATTACACTATAAAATTGTTTCACTGTCGGTCCATATTTGGTCATAGCTCCCATACAGGTGCCCTCCAGAAAATCACTCAAATGAATAATATTCATTACCAAATAAGGATATAGATAGAGAGGATACAGAATTTAGCCAAAATTTTGTATTTATATACATAATTGATCATAGCTCCCATGCTCTTACGAAAATCTCTTAAACGCACATTACTCATTACGAAATAAAGCTCTTGATACAAAATTTGGAATAAATATTAGTTTTTTATACAAAAATTATATCTCAAGATTTTTTCACGATCGGTTCTAACATGGGTGCGATCGGTCCCATACAATTTTCCTTTCCGAATTGCGATATAAATACAAAATTTGACTGCAATATAGCTTTTATGTAGATAAATTTAGCTTAAAGAATTTTTTACGATCGTTCTATAATTTGTTATATCTCCCCTGTCCCGAAAATCACTTAAACCGTATTTAACTAGTTGCATTATCAATTTATGTAGAACAATATTATATTTATTTTGAAAATCCTTAAATCTTTGACACACATGCATACATGCATTATTAAATATCGATAAAGCATATCTTAGGGCGCTATAAAAATATAGAAGAAAACGGCGTTTGTAATGTTCAATATATCTCGCAATTGTAACAGATTTAAGCTGTTTAAATCTTGGGGTTTTTCTATTTAAGACAAGAGAAAACTTATTTCTACAAATATTTGATCAAAAAACATAGTATATATATAAAAGTAGGTGGTGGAGGGTATTTAAGATTCCGATCAGCCGAATATAGCACTCTAACTTGTTTTAACTGCAACTAACAGTTTTTCATCTTAAAGTAAGAAGAAGAAAAAATAAATAAAGTGTTTAACAGCGAAACGAAAAACTTGTAATGCTTTTGAAAAAGTTTCCTTTTGCTATTTTCTGTCTTATTCCTTTTAACCAGCTGAGACATTGCAACTTGCAACAACGCATTGGTTGCCTTCTTTAGTTTTTCTTAAACTATATTTATTTTTTCTTGGAGCCAACAAACACTAACAAGTGTTGAAATGGTAAACATTCGAGTTTTATCTAGTGTTTTTCAGTTTTTCCTTAAATACATTTTTTGTATATTTTTTGTTTGTTTTTAAAGTTTGTTGAAGTTTATTTACATGCAAAAAATGGAAATATATTTTGTCTACAATTCTTTGCTGTATCTTTCTTCGGTTTGGAAGAAACTTAATTAAAGTTAAATTTTATTTATTTTATTCATTTATTTATATTAAAATTTATTTTTTAATGTGTCTTGTCTTGTTGCAGAAACTGAATAATCTTTGTGATTAGGACGTGTTGTACCCAAAACGCTCTAATGCAGACGATATGGTAAGTTTTCGTTTTTAATATAATGTATTCATCATTTTATTTGAGTTTACGTTTAAGGGCAAATGATTTTTAAAAGTTTATAAGTTATAAAAACCTAAATTAGTTGTTTACTTTACACATCCCAGGTAATGTAGAGTATAGTCAGTTGTATGTTTAAATTACTATTCTAAAACTTAATTGATGAAAACTGCAACTGAGAGATTCAGTTTTATACCAAAACTATTTAGTCAAGTACTACATTTAACTCCTAATCTTCCTTATATTTCAACATTCACCTTTAAAAGTTAAAAAATTTTCACTTTTCTTAATTTGCTGGCGGCTTTTGTATATTCTCTGTTTACCCAAATACAAACAGACTGTTTGCAAGTTTTTTTAAGCTAATTTCTAGTTGGCGCCAAAAGCATACACTATATAAATTAAATCCTCATTATTTTAATTCCTCATTCAGCACTAGAAAGCAACTACATACAACTGTCTAACTGTTTTAACCGACAAAAAAGGTTATTTTTCATTCCTCTTTGACAAAACGAAATTTGTTTGTATAATTCTACTTTTTTAATTAACTTACAACATTTCCAAGTTTTTTTCATTCTGTGTTGCTGCTTGGTGGTTAGAAATGATGTGTAACTGCAGTGCCGCAACTCGACAACAAAACACAAAGGAATGCAAAAGCAATTGAAAAATTGCATGAGGTAAAAAATTGAATAAAAATCTAAATAAAATTTAGGACGCGAGGTTAAAAAAATACCAAATATACACCTGAAAACTCAAAGTTTTTTACAGTATTTTTTGTTAACTCTAACAACCAACCCAATTTTATGGTGGATAATGGGGAAACAAAATTAAAATGCTCTGACCGACTGGCATGCACGTGGAATATTTGCCACCAAAGTTGGAACCACAACAAACAAACTGCAGAGTAAAAAGATTTTTTCTCTTTCCCATACATAGATCATACATACACTCATAGAAAAAAACTACAAAGAAAATTTTTGGAAATAGGCCACATAAAAGTACCGAATAAATAATGGGCACGTTCTGCTGCTTATAGTGGGCGCGTGCTAAAGTTCTTTTAAGGAATTTCTATTAAATTTTAAAGCGAGATTTATGGATTAAACATACTCAATTTAGTAAATCTGAATGTAACTCCTAAAAAATAAAACTGAACTAGAACTAGAACTGAACTAGAACTGAACTAGAACTGAACTAGAACTGAACTAGAACTGAACTAGAACTGAACTGGAACTGAACTAGAACTGAACTGGAACTGAACTAGAACTGAACTAGAACTGAACTAGAACTGAACTAGAACTGAACTAGAACTGAACTATAACTGAACTAGAACTGAACTAGAACTGAACTATAACTGAACTATAACTGAACTAGAACTGAACTAGAACTGAACTAGAACTGAACTAGAACTGAACTAGAACTGAACTAGAACTGAACTAGAACTAGAACTGAACTAGAACTGAACTAGAACTGAACTAGAACTGAACTAGAACTGAACTAGAACTGACTAGAACTGAACTATAACTGAACTAGAACTGAACTAGAACTGAACTAGAACTGAACTAGAACTGAACTAGAACTGAACTAGAACTGAACTAGAACTGAACTAGAACTGAACTAGAACTGAACTAGAACTGAACTAGAACTGAACTGAACTAGAACTGAACTAGAACTGAACTAGAACTGAACTAGAACTGAACTAGAACTGAACTAGAACTGAACTGAACTAGAACTGAACTAGAACTGAACTAGAACTGAACTAGAACTGAACTAGAACTGAACTAGAACTGAACTAGAACTGAACTAGACTGAACTAGAACTGAACTAGAACTGAACTAGATCTGAACTAGAACTGAACTAGAACTGAAATAGAACTGAAATAGAACTGAACTAGAACTGAACTAGAACTGAACTAGAACTGAACTAGAACTGAACTAGAACTGAACTAGAACTGAACTAGAACTAAACTAGAACTGAACTAGAACTGAACTAGAACTGAACTATAAATGAACTAGAACTGAACTAGAACTGAACTAGAACTGAACTAGAACTGAACTAGAACTGAATTAGAACTGAACTAGAACTGAACTAGAACTGAATTAGAACTGAACTAGAACTGAACTAGAACTGAACTTTTTTTTTTTCAGTTGTAGTACTTGATACGAACGGACGTGTTTTTTCTAAAGCTCTTATAAACGTACTTTAAAGTGCATTAAATATTTTTTCAAATACAAACAAGCTGATAATATCATAATATTAAATTAGCCGGCTGACGGATTTGTTGGAAAATAAATAAAGAATTCTTCAAAATCACTAAAATATACTTTTTATTCAAATTTATAAATTTAAAACATAAATACAAAAAACATAAATATTTGAAAACTAAGCAAACAATAAAAATCTAAGAGTGTCAAAATGAGTCAACCTGTTCTCTGTCACCAGTGTAAAAAAGTAATAAAAACAACAAACTATGTGAAGTGTTTCAACTGTAACATGAATTATCACTTTTCATCTTGTTCTCCACTATCAGAGAGTACTTATCTTAGCATGTGTGGTGAGAGAAGAACTTCGTGGAAATGCCAAAACTGCAAGCCGCGTAGCCGATCGCCAAACACAACGTATCAAACTTTTGTACATGATGATGATACTAACAAAAAGCAAGCGAGATGTGATGACGAGATGGAAAATGAACAAGCAAAAAAATTTAAAGAGTCGGAGTCGTTGACCCCGTCCAAAACAAGAGTATGCTCGCAGTCTGATATTGAACAATTTAACATAGGATTGCAAAAAGTAAATACAGCAATCGAAGAACTCTCTTCGAATGTAAACATATTAAACTCTAAAATAACAGGCCAAATTCAAAACACACTTACAACAATAACTGATACGCTTTCTACATTAGTTACTCAAGTAAAAGAGCTTACTGACAAGGACAAACAAAAAGAAATGAAGATCAACATAATTGAAACTCGTATGGATAAAATGGAACAACAAATGCTAAACAGAAATATAGAAATTAAAAATATTACCAACAAACTAATATCTGAATATGAAGTTGTTAAAACAATTGGTGAATCTCTGAAAGTAACAATAGATGAAAGAGATATTAATAGAGCATACCGCACAAAGAGAAGTGAAAAAATAATCGTAGAGTTCACTACCCTAAACAAAAAAACAGAGTTTATGGACAAAATTAAAAATCATAGAGTTGATGCTAATATCATAAAAGAAAATGGAAACAACAAATACATATATATTAATGACGAATTGACTTTTAGTAATCGTCGACTTTTATGGTTAGCTAAAACTAAAGCTAAAGAAGCAAACTGGAAATTTGTCTGGGTAAAACACGGAAATATATTCGCACGTAAAAATGAAAACTCCCCCCTATTTGTCATTAATAATTCTACAGATATTGATAATATTAATAATGCATTTTAAGCACAAACTTACATTATTTTAATTTTTTTCTTCCATAATTTTTTGATATCTTTATATAAAAATGAATACTTATACTGTCAATCAAACAATAAATCACATAAAACAAATAAAAACAGACTTTCTAAGTTATCCCAAAACTGTAATATATATGAATATTCGTTCACTACGGTTAAACTTTGCAACTTTTCTCGCAACAATAAATAGCATAATACACAAAATAAAATTTATTGTACTAGTTGAAACTAATATCACTGATAATGAAAATAGTTTTTACAACATAAACGGTTTTAATTCCATATTTTTTAACAGAAAAGGAAGAGGTGGGGGAATCGCAGTCTATATTGCCGAAAGTTTAACATTTAATCATATACCAATAAACTCAAATTCCTTTGAAATAATTCAAGTTGATGTAAATATTGACGAAAAAATACTTTCTCTCCTCTCCGTGTATCGTCCCCCGCATTTTAAGAGACAACAACACAACAACAACATACTTAAATATGATGACAAGCAATGGTCTACAATGCATGGTGAGCGAATGTACAAGAGATGATGTAAAAAGAAATACAAAAACATGCATTGATCATTTATTCTTAAAAACAAGTAAGGCAACAACAAACGCACAAGCATTGATAATAACAACAAATATCTCTGACCACTACACTATTTATACCCTACACCACTATAGTGGGGAGGGTATTATGCGTGTGTGCTGATGTTTGTAACACCCAAAAATATTGGTCCTACACCCACCTTAAAGTATACCAATCGACTCAGAATCACTTCCTGAGTCGATTAAGCTATGTCCGTCTGTCCGTCCGTCCGTCCGTCTGTCTGTCTGTCTGTCTGTGTGTCCATGTAAACCTTGTGCGCACTCTACAGGTCGCAATTTTTGAAATAATTTGATGAAATTTGGAACATGCACTTCTCTTGGCCCAAGGACGAACGCTATTGAAAATGGTTGAAATCGGTCCATTATTTCACCTAGCCCCCATACAACCGGACCCCCCGAATAGGGCTTTTGACCTCACAATTATGTTAAATGATCTGCTATCTCTACAAAAATTGGAAAAGTTTAGTTTTATATATGTCTTAATAATGGTAGTGATTTTCGTAAAGATCGGGCATTATTTGACCCTAGCCCCCATACAAAGTCCCCCTCAGAAAATGACTTGAATGTCCACAATTCACTTATAAACAGTAGTATCACGATGAAATTTGGCACAAATGAGTTTTATATAAACATAATTCCCAACAATAAATTTTATAGGGATCGGACTAAGTTTTACTCTAGCCCCCATATAAGTGGACCTTCCGGTTTGGGCCTTTTAGCTCATAACTTTGTCAAATATACTACTATCTCTCCAAAAATCGCCACAACTAAGTTGGATATAATTATAAATAACTCTGTAGATTTTTATAATGATCGGGCATTATTTGACCCTATCCCCCATTCAAAATCCCCTTCAGGAAATGACTTGAATGTCCACAATTCACTTATAAACACTAGTATCAATATGAAAATTACCACAAATAGATTTTATATA